AATGGATGTCAAACGGGGGCTAAGCTAAAATAACTGAAAGAAATCACATTAAGTAGAAGAACAATTCAGTAATGACACAAAAGAAAACTATTAAAAGGTGACAGAGTAGAATTTGGTATACCTTAAGAATTTATCTCCGATGTAATGCAAATAAAACTTTAGTATTGAAGTAGATAAAGGGTGTTTTGTGTTGATTCCTTGCAAAGCAATTAGAAATAACTTAATATAAGGTGGTGTTAAATAATAAAATTATTCAAAATGAGATTATACCTTTGAAAAGCCCTGCAATGCAAGGCAGACCTGTAGCAAAAAAAAAAAAAAAAAGTAAGCAGAATAAAATGTTCTAAAATCCATAAATTAAAAAATTCATCAACCGTGAGGAGAAAATCAACGAAGCAGGATCAGATATTAGGATCACGGAATAAACTTCCAATAAATGTAACTATAATAAGTTGGTAATAATTGAAATGACGAAGAACACTTAGTTATTTGTATTGGCCAGTATGATGAACAATCTCAAGTCGGCACTTTCTGATTTTCCCTTAGAGTCACCATATTATTTCTATGGAGTTATAAACATATTGAGATCCCAACATATTTTCACATACTATCAATAAATAATTATTTTCCCCAACTTGTTTTTCTTTCCTTTGCTTATCAAGGATTCATTAGAAAACTTCTCTTAAAAATTCACTATATGTGCACATATTATTCACGTCTAAACATGATTTCATCACTTTATGCTCGATCTTTTTGAATCCATTGCCCTCCTTATCCTTTTTTTAAAAGTAAATTATCTTTGTATTGGTTCATCATATATTGGTATATCAAATAAGAATTAGAGAAATCATACCTAACAAAATACTTTTGTTACAATTTATCAACTTCAAAAGCATCTAGAAAAATATTAAATACACGTGAAACTTTGACAAGAAGCTGATGTGAGCCTATAAAATTACAATAACGTGCTTGTATCAAAGCACAACTAATAACTCGAAAGCTCAATAGAAGTATAAAATAAAATACATATAACCATCATTAAATTACACATGTACATCCATAAGAAATGACTATCATCTCCTTAGTTTGCCGAGTCCTCATTCTTTGATCTTTCAACACAAACCTATGGCTTAGCATAATGATAAAAAAAATCTAATAATTTAATAGAGAAAAATAGATAACATACACTATTGCGGGAGTTGGAGATCTAGAATATTAGAAATCACCAAAGAGACTCGTAAAAAAATTTCATGTAGCCGACTTCAAATTAATTGAGAACAAAACTTAGTTTGTAGTATGTCTAGAGGAAAAGAGCTCTTATACTCCTATAAGCTTAAAGGATGCAATCTTTCATGGAAGTTAATGAAAACAAGTTCATGCAAATTAACAACCCCAAAGTCAGCAAAGCTATATCCAAGTATTCCTTCCACATCCACATGAAATTCAATAATTGATAAAGTTATAAGATTTTAGCTAAGTCAATATGGAGGTCGCTGTACAATTAATTGATGGTTCAACGTTGAATATGATAAATGCTGGAAGAGGAAGGAAGAACAAAAAAATAAAGATTGTCTCCATGCGCGCACGGAGGAATTTTTTATTTTTTTTCCTACAGGAAATATTGGTTCCATTGATGTATGATTCGTCTCCATCTCCATTATGGTACGTTACAAAACGAAATTTTTTTGTGCTTTTTTTAAATTTTAGAAAGAATAGGCTCGAGAGTCAAATGGAGCATTCTCATATATTTTTCTATTTTACAAATAACAGAATGATGATACCCCTCTAAAAAAAAAAAAAAATCTTGCAGATCTAGAACCATACAGTAAAATCGAAGCACCATACCTTCTATTCATAGAAAAATCTTACTTACCAGAAAACCTTGTTTCATTAATTTTTTTCGTTTGATCTATGATGGAAGCTTTAAACCTCTGCAAAAGAAAAAAAAAATAGAGGGTTAGAACTTCTAGGATGGTCAGCACCGAAAAGTTTTGGCAAAATTAAACACCATACATATAAATTCATCGGAAAGAAATAGAAAATGGAGGTTTGATTTTGCGTGGAAAATGAAGGAAAGAAGCATGAATGTTGCTTTAAGAAATGGATAAAGTCAAAGAAGAAAAAGACACGACTTAAAAGTGCAATGCCATGCTTGAGATAAAATAAAAGGGATAAAATTACTATAAAAAATATATTACATCCGCATGACAGTCTAATGACGTCATATAGTGTAGGGATATTACTGTAGGATAATTGTTTCAATATCGAATACCAAATTTGTAGACTGGATGCCGTATAATAAACTATACATATAACAAATCCAACGACTTGTTAATTGTAGCAAAAATAACAAGTAATTTAAATAATTACAAAAAATCAATATGCAAATCGAGTAAAAACAATTAAAACAGTATAGAGTAATGTTATTCATCCCCAGTGGGGATGAAAATACAGTCTATGTGTCATTAAATGATAAGTTAAATTAAAAGTGAAATTAAATGATTTATTTAATTTCACCTATCATTTAATGCCACATTAGCGCCACATAAACTGTGTTTTCATCCCCAGTGGGGATGAATAGCATTACTCAACAGTATAACACTTTTAACCTGAGGCCTGTGTCAAACACAGTTTCCTTAAAACAGATTCGCCCCCTCACCGTACGTGCTTGAGAATAGTACGAGCGTCTGCTTCTTAGGATACAACGGAGGAACCAATAAAATCCAAGCACAACAGACTCTATTCCGGCGAACTGACTTTGTGTTTGAAATATATCACCACCAAACTCGATCAAGAATGAAAAATACAGAGAAACAGGAATTGTGTGCAGATGAATTTTTCGTGTAATGAACAATGAAAAAAAAAAACAAGATATATAAAAGTTTTGGATCTTAGGTCGCGCTCGCACACAAGTTCAATGTCCGAACCCTATTTCGGTCCATTATTTGCACCCATGCGCTTGCACGTGGAGAGAGCATCTATGCTACACATGATTACATCATTTTAAAGTGCAATCCTTTATAAAGTGATTTTAGATTTCATCGACTTCCTACGTGGGACAAATCTTATTTTTAGATTTCTCACCAACATAAACTCCTTTCACATGGCTCACTTTGAGCTTCAATTTCTCATTCACCCGATAAATTATTTTTGATAAATAAATATATGATTTCGATGTACTCACGAATGAGCGCGCAAATCAAAATATCATAATAATATATAACATTACGAGAGCGGAAACATAATCATAAGTCGTGTAATAATGTTTTGATTCCAAATTTCCAATAAAGTTGTGTTCTTTCCATACTTCCCACACACCTTGTAAACTTCATCACTAGCAATAAAGCGCCGTTCAAACCCAATGTCCGGGGCTTTCTCTATTTCTCCCTTGTTATATTCCAATCCAATTACGCCTCCAAGGTCTGTTGATATATTTGTATATTTATATATGTTTACGTGTGTATGTAGATGTTGTTTGTTAGATTACAGTCATAAAGATTTTTATTTTGGTGGGGGAAAACTGCAGATTGATTGTAAAAATGTCAGCTACAGCTACAAGAAAGGTGGGAATGTCAGTTGGGTCCCTGGTGGTGAAGCCTCCCGCACATCCCACTTATGATTTGAAGGGCGTTATACAACTTGCCCTCTCAGAAGATGCCGGCGATCGAGGTGAAATTACAATTTTACTGCTTGGTTTTTATTTTTTGAATTTTATGTGTATTTGGCATTAGATGGAATGTTCTAATTTCTACATATGTTGTGTGCTTCAAAAATTTCTTTTAACCATCAAGTAGTCGTGTAGTTTTGCAAATGGGTTGCCCAATGGATATGTACTGAAAATAGCGAATGCTAGTAAGTAGAAAGTGTTAATTTTGTTTGAAGTTTATGAATCGCCGTGGCAACCGTCACATTTCTCTCTCTCTCTCTCTCTC